TCATCATTTATTTCTTCTGAGGAAAGAATACTTCATTGAATTGGTTTTGTAAAGAATTTATTAAATCTCTTATTAGGAACAGTCAACTCTAATGTATTCCAGGTATAATTCTCATATACATCCACTCTTTTGTGTCCCCTTAGCACCATATATACATCTCTATTATACTGGCAATCACATGATGTTAACAATGATTTGTTTATAATTATTTCTCCTCCACTATCTAGTCTCTGGGATCATCCCAGGAAGTCTAGATGATATTCATTCTTGGGGTTTCTCTCCCCAGTGCCTACCACAGTATCTAATATATATCAAATGAGCAATAAATTGGATTTAATTTAATGTTGACCTTAAAATCTCCTTTAGAACAGATTACCCAAATCTGGGTAATCATCCAACTAACCCAGGAGCCCTAGTCTCCAAGTTCTGATTCAGTAGGTCAGAGACTAAAAAACCCTTATTTATTGATTGATTGATTCATTCATTCATTCATTTATTTTAGGCTGGTCAAGTGAAGCCAGTGGGAGTGGAGAAGGAACAAAAAATTCTTATTTTTTAAATCTTCTCAAATACAAAATGATACAACTCTACTGGAGGGAATTTGGCAATATCTAGTAAAATTTTGTATGGATTTGCCCTTTGACCCAGCGAATCCACATCTGTGAATCTACCACTAAGATAGATTTGCAAAATATACAATGTTAAGTGAATAAACAAGGTGAAAGAGAGTGAATTTATGCCTTCTTTTGTGCAAGAAGTGAGAAAAATACATAAAACACATATTTGCTAATGGAGGAATAAACTAAAGGCTAACAAGAATTGTTACCTATTGAGGAGGGAGAGAATGGATAAGGGAACAAATATGCAAGCAAACTCTTTCTCAATATACAGTACTTACTTCATAGTTTTGATTTTAGAACCACATAAATGTTTTACCTTAATTTAAAGGTTAAACCAAAAGAAAAAAAAAGCAAAATGAGAAAAAATGAACCTAAATATATATCAACCAAATGATTAGTAAGTTAAAGTTTTTCTTTATAGAATTATAAGCACATAAATAAGTACTTTAAGTCAATATTTTGACAGTACTTCCCTAATGGGACATGTACCCCAAGGACAAAACACACACGCTATTTTAAACTATATTTTTTGGTCTTCTTATGAGTAGCATAACTAGTATTATTATTCTTGATCTAGTCAAATATATCACTATAAATGTTAAAAGTATTAAAAGAG